TATCACTCCTGCATAGTAGGTATCCCGGTGTGTTTCTTGAGCACGATTTTTTGAGATTACATCCAAAGATTAAAATAACCCTTGCTCGCAATAGACCGTCTCTTTCGCGGTCGATTGACATCTTCATTACCGTACCTAGGCTCTTTGCGCACTTATCATGGGGATGTTGACCGGTCACCATGAAATCCAGGAGTTATTCTGAGGAGGACGAGCATTTCATATCGGAATACATTTAACGTTTGCTAGAATGACTGCTATACGTTTTTGCTAAAAGAAACTTACCGGTGTATATCTTGGCTCCCATTCCATCCTTCTCTAACTTAAACGTTTTGAAACCACTTTACGCCAGAAGTTGTGAATAAATGTTGTGTCTTATCATTTTGATACAGCTGTTCAATGTCCGCTACAAAGAATATATGTGTGACACCGTCGTGTGGTCGCCCTTCAACTCTTCTATGTCCGAAGTGTTTGGAGCTCGGTATCAAGAACTCGTTCTTCTGCTCACAGGTGATTTTTTATTTATAATCATTGACTTATGATATAGGAATGCTTTAAATCGTTTTGGAAAACACATAAAGCTATTCATCTGGCTGCAAGTTCGTTGAGTTTTATTTTCAATACAGCCTGATTTATCTCGAAAGGCGCTATCCCCTCCGGTGATTCGCTGGAAGATGAAAGTTTCGCTGGTTACATATTCTCTGGCAACTTACGACCTGCAAGAAAGGTAGGTGGGCGAGCCTTTGGTTATGGTTTTCATTTCGTTATAGACACCGATGCGCACTTTGCCAGACTCAATCAAACGACCGGACTACGCAGAATCAGGTAAGAACCGCAGCACACATGCGCTGACCTATTAGGTATACCATATTCGGAGCGGAAAGCCAAGGACGATCGAGACATTCTGACGTTGAATGATGAGGAAATCGAAGGCATGCGTTTAACTGGCAGGGTGAGTTGTCGAATATTCTTTATTTTCCGCATAATTTGAAACCGAGTACTCACCGGGGCGGTCTTAGAAACCAACAGCGACGTTTGTCGTTTATGATGTGGTCATTAGACTACACCAAACTTCCTGGTTACCAAAGTCTCTGTGCCTAAGCTTAGCATTGCTCGTCCGGTCTCCCCACCCGATTCATGTAATGCTTCGTGGATAGTGGTGTTTGTGCACAGACGATCGATCTTTATCTTACTTTCGTTATGGCCATGTCCTTGCGCTGTATATCAGAATCGCCCGAATTGCTGCAGTATTCACTGTACTCTTCACGGGCAACCGGATGTCGCGACGGCTCCACAAATGTCTTAATTTGACAAATACCAATCGATCATTCTGTTTGCATGCACCAACCCAGTCGCGTTGCAACATTTTGCATATTTTACGCATGCCGAACATAGATAACTACACTCGTACCCGAATCGTCCAGAAAAGCTTGTTAATTATCTGGATCTTCACCTGGCAGTGTGATATTGTCGGCATACTCCAGATCAGACAATCTATCATCTGGGAGCAAATCGTTACCGTCATCCTCGTACAGGACTGTTTCTAGAATTAGATCTATTACAAACTTGAGTCAATTCGATTCGATTCTTATAGCCAATACCCATGCATAAACCATACACAAAGTTGAATAGAAAAGGAGAGGGGACAACCGTGACGAACAGCACTTTGTGTGGTGAACTCAGGCGAGAAAGTGGCGAAATGATGGATCTACAAAAGGGATGTCAGTGTTCAAGGAATTGGCGAAGAGAGAGAATATAGTCGATGCAGCCTCGACCGGATATAAAACCAGCCTGGTTCTCAAGCGTGCACTGTTCACGTGCAACCGACAGTCGGTAGAGTATTATACCCGCTAGAATTTTAGAGACAATATTGATCAGACTAATTACTCTGTGGTTTTACAAGGGATCTGTCGGTTTTCTTGTAAACCAGTAAACTGACCGACTCACACCTTTCTGTTGAAACCTGTTCCCTCTGTCATACCAACACAGGAGTTTCGTTAACTCCAAGACCGAGACTGAAGGTTCATTTTTAAAAGCCGATGAGGATATTCCATCTGGATAACAACCTTTTACATTTTGAGATGACTTACCTCCAGGGTAAACTCCTTTTCCGATGGGGGACTGATATCAACTGGCGGTAGCTACCCAGTCTAAATCTTGTGAAAATTCCGTGAACTGTGATAGGGATTTGCTGGTAGCAACGTTCCCGATATCGGCCAGATGAATGAATAAATAATTTTTTTGATATTTTCACTGTGCATTTTCTTTGTCTTTTATGGGGAACGGGGTTTCACCAAAGAAACCACATCAGTCGCGCCACTGACATCTATTCTGAGCCATATCTCTTAGCGTCTCCAACCATCGGCAATCCCCTATCCCTTGGGTCCCATCCTGGAAGTCGAGCCGCACCAACCAAAGCCAATACTGAGGCTAACTTTTTCATACCTCTACGCCATGTCATGATCTGACCGCCTCGAAGCTTCTTTCAACCTTGCCCGGCACATGCAAAGAGAGTTTTTCAGTTTCAGTTTGAACAACCATTAACCATGCACTTTCGTGCGCCGGTTTTGGTTGCTATCTTTTGGCTGCCCATTGGGATGAAGAATAGGAGAAGAAAGGAAAGTTGAAAGTGGATTCGAAAAGAAAATGGAGAAGTTCAGTGGACTAAGGTTGGGAAGAAATTGAGGAGATGCACGAACGCCAC